AATTTCTTTACAGAGAGGATGGTCAGACATTGGAATGGGCTGCCCAGGGAAGTAGTGGATTCTCCGTCCCTGGAGGTTTTTGAGACAACACTGGATGTGGCACTCAGTGCCATGGTCTAGTAACCGCAGCAGTAGTGGATCAAGGGTTGGACTTGATGATCTCAGAGGTCCCTTCCAACCCAGCTGAGTCTATGATTCTATGAATACCTTATCTCTCTGATTGATGTAAACTCACTTCACATGCTTAATGGGCGTGGTCACATCTTGGCTTCCAGGGATTCAGTATAATTGTTGGCTCAGCTGCAGAGCATCTTCATGTCTGTCTCTTGGTTGACAGGTACATGTGGTGTTTGAACTAAAAAGTGCCACTATGTTCCCATCCCTGCAGGGATTTTTATGGAGTGAGGCCATAAAAAGTGAGACCTCACCCCCTCTTCCATCCCCTTTAGCAGATGCTTATCATTGTATAGGGAACCTTTGTGTTTCCATCCAGGGAGATGCATCTGCATTTTACCCTGTAATTCTTAGTCTCCTCTAATTTTTAACCCCAGCCATCTTCCCACGCTGCATCATAAAGATTTTCAGAGATTTCAGATCTTCTTTTAGAAAGATCTCAGTTCTGGAAATGCTTACACGTAGTTCACAGTTTGTGGAAGTTAGTATGTAAGAAGTCTTTGAAGGTTTTGGACTTCAGTGGTTTTCTTGCTAGTGTTGAAAAATTCCTTTGGGAATTTACTTGAGTACTGCTGTGAAAGGGGTGGTTGCCATTATTTCTGCTCTGTGCATTTATTGAATTTGTGATAATTTCCCTTGATGCAAATGCAAAAGTTGATGTATTGTCCTGTTCATTTTTGTTGTTTTAGGAGTCTTTGGATGATTCTCAAGTAGCTGGAGTTTGTACAACAGAAGAAGTGATTCGCTATGAGTATCATGTCTTGTACTCCAGCAGCTACCAAGTACCTGTGCTTTATTTCAGGGCATGCTTTTTAGGTAAGACCGACCAATTGTGTATTAAATATGTGGGATGCCGTAGATGTTAAAAACATGAATTCTTGTGTTAAAGTGAGGAACAGATGTGTAAAATAAGAAAGTAAGAGATGAGGCTGCTCACCAGTAAATTTTGTAACACAGAGCTTCAGGACCATGGAATAGATGATATCACCTCAGCCTGAGGGAGGCTGAACTTTGGCTCTTGGCATCTTGCCTGTGGTTTACTAAGACTGCTGGTCATTTTTCTTGTTCCTTTTCTTGAAATGACTGCAGAAACTTAATGCAGCACGTTTGAATTGGGCAACGCAGTAAGTGGGCATAATCACAGAGCTTGTGTGTTTCTTTGGAGCCTGAATTTGAGTCAAAAGGTTGGGGTCTAAATGTGTCTTTAAAATTGTGTGCTGTTTTCTGTTTAAATTTGCTGCTTAAGGGAAAATAAAATAATATCAATATGGTATTGAGTTTTTGTATTTAAACTGGCTCTGGAGGCACTAACTGATCATCTTTCCTTCCTGAAATATGCATCTTGTTACCTAAGGCTGCTGTTTGTGTCACTTATTTAATCAGCAAACAGAGTGATCACACTGTAGCATTGGCTGTGCTCTGTTCCTCACTGCCCAAAGTCTGTGTCCAGCACTGGTACAGGCTGCCCGGGGCAGTGGTGAAGTCACCGTCCCTAGAAGTGTTCAAAAAACGTGTGGATGTGGCACTCGGGGACAGGATTTAGTGCTGAACATGGCCATGCTGGGTTAAGGCTTGGACTCAATTTTAGAAGTCTTTTCAGACCTAAATGATTCAGTGATCAACATCTTTTGTGTTTTGAATAATATCTTACCTTTATCTAGATAAAGATGTCTGAATGTTGCCAGTGATATCTTTTCTTTTTTTAATTAAAAAGTAGCTTAAGCTGCTTTGAATGTGTTTGGTAGATTTAATCACTCTCTGCCTTATATTGTTTAATGGTTTCTAATTTTGCAGTGTTGGCATTTTGAAAGGCACTTCACATTCAAAATTGGAGAACAAATTCTCATAGACTCCCTGGTGGAAAGATTTTAGTCTGAGGTGCAGTTTCAGGAATGGATAATTTGGGGTAAATTTTCAGACTGGGACATGGGGAATTGGGGACATTGCTCTGCCTTTACCACCAACAGAACTCATTTGCACACATCCTGCTGCAAATTTATTTCTAGTTTTATTACAGGCTTTTACAAATGTGCACTGTTTTGCCTTTAAACTTGTTGGGCAGACAGGAAGACAAAGGAAGTTTTGCTGTGAGAGATGGGTTAACCTATTTGTGGTCCTGAAAAATGTAATTTTCTTCATTTTTTCTGAATTAATAGTTCACTGTCTCTACAAGAAGAGGATGGAGACACTGCAGGTAGAGGAAGTAGGACACTATCTCTACTGTACTGTACTTTCATATAATTAGTATTCACCATAAGCAGTTAATCACCAGAGAAGAGCTCACAGAGACAAAACCAGTTGTTTAGCTTGTCAGCATCAGGGAATCGGAGGTGTTGAAACATGACTCCTTATAGCTGGAAGTGGGTATTACAGGAGCCAGTGGATGATCTAATGCACAATCATGGTATTATGTGCAAACAGCTCCCCTTGCAGTACAGAATTGTAATTGTTTCTGCAAGTACAATTACCTTTTAAAACACTTCTTGGGAACCTTTCACAATGGAGAGCAAGGGCTTTTTTTGGATACTTCCTGAAGTCACCTGGGTTCTCTTTTAACGTTTAAGTATACCTGACTCTTGAAGAGAGAAGGATACACAATGGTGGCAATAAGTGCATATCCTACAATGTTTTCAGCAAGTACTCTCTGATTTTAATTACGGATAGCTTACCTTTGAAATTCTGTCTTCCCTGCATGTTGTTTGCCTGCTTGTGCTGTGCTGTCTGAAGGTCCCAACATGGAGTTTTTGGGACTGTGTAGGTGACAGTTGCTCACAGTCTCTTGAGATACCTGAGCAGTGTTTTTTTTATCTTGTCCCAAACCTGGTATGAGGAAAATTCAAGGTAATGCCCTGAGATTTTTTTCCTTTGAGGTAATAGTCTTCATGTGATAGGCTCCTCACCTTGTTTCTCAGACAACGAGCAATACTCACTGCGTTCCTCATCTGAAATAATCAAGGAAGAATTTTCCAGACACCTTCGTCAATTTCCCAGTCTAAATTCCTACCATTATTTGTAAATTAGGTAACAGAATCAATTCCTCACCAATGTCTTGTGAGCTGTTCATGATTTCCCTTGAATCCTGTCCGTACTGATCCTGATGTTAATTAGAGCTGTTGCAGGGGGTGGAGCTGAGCTATAATCCTTCCAGGATTTCCACAGCCCTGTCCAGTCTTGCCTTCCCCAGGAGCGGGACACAGAGTTAGAATGCAAAACTCTGCATCATCATCATCATCATCATCATCATCATCATCATCATCATCATCATCATCATAATAATAATTCTGTTCAACTTGATGGAGTAGTTTTGTCGTATTCACTTCCTCACTTTGTGTGTTCTAACAGCAGCTGATGCTACCTGTGCAAATCTGCCAGACTCTTGACAAACTCTTCTTGAATGATGAAATCCTACCTTTTTCCCACTGTATATGAGGCCAGTTCCCATTGACTTGGTCTCTCACAGTCCCTCCTAGGAGGAAGGCTCCTTGTAGAGTTACTGGGGGGATTTTCCTGTCATTTTCAGCTTGGTTGGCATCTTTAGGAGCTTGTGTCAGTGAAGACATCCAGTTTTCACTTGTTTCTTCTACCAGTTATGTTCAACCGCTACAGATCACTTCTTCCTGCAGAAGGGAAAAAGTTGCATTGTGTCCTTATCCTTGCTGCTGTCTAAATTGGATGAAATGTCTTATTTTCTGGAATTCATGTATAGACCTCTTTTTTTTTGAGATGAAGTTTGATACATAAGGTGGTGTAAGGTAAGGTTTGAAATTTTAATTGCAGCAGAACTTAAACATTCTGAGACACATCTAAACTTCTTGGTAGTCTCTGGGTGTAGATTTACAGGGAAGATCTTGTTCTGTGCAAGGACAAATATTTCAGTTGAAAATAATGATTAAAGTGTGATGAGCGTGTCTGGAAAGATGCTTGGGAACATTATAGGATGCCAAGAAGATATTTTTAGGCTACGTGTATACACATAAGAAACATTTTTCACTACCTCATGATGCTTCCCCACGTGGCATATATTCCTAAATTCAGACTTCCTGAAGTCACAGTCTGTGTCAGGAGCTCAAGGCAGTGGTTCCAATACCTCAGAGGCTCCTTTCCCCAAAATCAGCCTTATGCCTGCCATACCTTCCAGAAATAGGAGCCTCTCTTCCTTTCTCTGGCTTTTGGGACTATCAGGTAGGTAGTTGAAGAAATGCATGAACCCCTGCTGACATCACCCCTGCTGATATGTGATGTCAGCAATTATCCCTCTTAGAGACAGATGGTGTAGGCAATTATCCTTCCTCTTCAATGCTGGCATCGGCCGGATGGGCTGGGCTAGGTCCAGTAAGCTTTCTTTAATCAGCAGAGTATTCACCTCTTTTCTTAGTCTTTAAGAGGCCAAGGAACTTTGGTCTTTTCCTGAACTATCCTTCATCTGAAGCCATACATTCAAAAACCTCTTGTCACAGATTAAAAAAACAGAGTGAGGTAGCAACCACACAATCACAGGTGAGCACAGGCACCATTCAGGAATTACCTTGCCTGCTAAGAAAATGATGGCTTACCTTGCACTTCTTGTTTTTCCTGAAAAGTTAAAGGAATCATCATGAATGCTGTCTAAATACTGAAAAGAAAGAGCAGAACTAGTGGGAGTCAGTAAGGGCTTCAGCCTTACTCCTCTAGGAAAGAGAGAAGGAATTGGGTTTTGAAGCTGATCTGTTCTAGCTCTGTGACATATAGCTAAATCCCTGCCAACAAAAACCATGCTAATCAGTGGTTAGGGAGAGTGAGCTTCTGAAGTGGTGTAACTTCCTCTAACCCTGAAGGCATGACTTTCTGTATTCATAATCATACTGGGCCTGGCTGAAGCACTTTCCAGAATGCAGATTTACTCCCTGAACTCAGAAGCATGTAACCACCATGTCCTTTCTCAGAAATACAGCTGCTCTTAAGACCATGTCCCGTAAGAACTGGTTTTATTGTGGCTTTGAACATAAATGAGATTGAATAATTTGTATGATTTGGTATTCCCTTTAGCTGTAATGGTGATTTTTCTCTTTTGGCAACAGTTTCTTAAGATTGTTTTTTTATAAAATGTGTCAGAATGATGCCTCAAAACAATTTTGTGCACCATTTCACTCAAAAGTGTAAAAAATCCCTTTAATTGAGAATGTCAGAAATGATTAAAAACTTTAAATTGGGAATCTCAGAAATTGCTAAATTACTAAAAGTTTTAAAATTATTAAAATTATTAAAAACTTTAAATTGGGAATCTCAGAAATTGTTCAAAGCCCTCCGTAAACATCAAGAAAACAGAATACAGCAACTTGGTAAGCCTCAAAATTTTCTCTGAGAATATATGTGGAATTTGTCTGCCTAAAGAATTTCCAGTCTTTGCAAGAATTAAGATACCAGCTGAGAGCTGCAACTCATCTGTGGTGACATGATTAACCCCAAGTGGGCCATCGAGAACCTTTTCTCAGAAAAGTTTGTTGTGGTCTAAACAGTTTAATAATAAAACTATCCCAGCTAGGCTTGGGATGAGCCTTGGGACATGGAGCAAGCTGTGTCCTTGTGGGTAAGTGATGAGTAAATGTAATGATGGTGAATCTGGAGCCTCTGCCTTCCTCTCCTGCCACTTCTCTTGGCTTGGTGCTGCTGTTTCTTCCTCTTTCTGGCTGAACTTCCTGAGTTCAGCTCCGTCACGGGGAAGAATGAGGCACAAAGCCAAGAGGCTGTTGGCTCAGAAGGTGCCACAGTGGCCCCCTTGTTGCCAGCAGCAACAATTACTGACTGCTCTGCCAGCCCACATGGATATTAGAAGTCTCAGTGGGTAGCAAGAATGTGCAACAGGGCTGCTAAACACGTGAGAGTGCTGGCAGCCCTGGAAAAATGGGTCTAAAAGTGCCCAGAGAATACAGGTCTGCGTTTTGGGCAAGTCTGGGAGCTTGAGAAAGAACTGGATTCGCTGCGCAGTAAACACAAAACTCAGTTTTACCTATAATATGGTTAATGCTTCAATAATATTTGATTACTTCTATAAACGAGATTAACAGAGTCAGAGTAATCCATTCCACCTGTACAATCTGAATTTGCTCAGGTGTCACTATAAAAGTTCACAAGGGAAGGTGTACAGAACAAAATGTGGAGTGCCAAATCAAATGTTGCATTAGGACGTGTTATTCTAGATTTTACACTTGGACTTACTCTGCAGGTTGAAAACGGAATTGCAGGTATGCATGGCATCTTCTGTTACCTACACACAGGTGATCTGAGCATAAATATATCCTTCTAAAGTTAATTACATTAGAATTTAGAAAAATTAGTATTTGCTAATACAAATTTCTTAGTATTAGCAAATCATCTCCAGTGCAGCTCTGGTATCTTCATCATAATACAGTGGACATGATGGTCTAACAAGTCTCATGTCCATGAGGATGCCATGGAATAAGTGGTTAATATGCTGTTACCCTCTCAGATAACTTTAATTGCCACATGATTTTGCTGTAAGATCAGAACTTGGTGCTTTTTTATAAATATATATGCAGAAAATAAAAGAGAGGCAGTAGGCAGCTGGTTGGAACTTATGTCTAAACATGGCATTCAAATGTTAATTGTGTGAATAACTCTTTTTCATTTTACAGACATGCAAATGTCAGTAGAATAAAACTATTTGTCAGAGGATGATGATTTCTGACACCTGATAAATGCCAAGATGAAGCTACTTATTGAAAGTGTATCAAAATACTCTGTTTGCCATAAACAAATGCTCATTAAAAATTGACATGCTTATTTTCTAAGTAGTCGACACTAATATCTTGGCATAATTCTAGTGTCACAGGTAAAAATCTGATGCAACAATACCATATAAATGGAGCTCAAGAAAAAAATTAAGGGCCTGTAGGTTACGAAAATGCAGCAAACTTTTATCTGCAGAATTTTGCTCCTCAGATTTTTCCACTCTCTCACTATTAATTGGATGTACTTATGCACTAGATAACTCTTCATGGTGTTATTTTGTGGTTTTAAATTAATCTCATCCAAACTTTTATTTTACAAAATTAGCTTTAGTTTTGCTATTTTGCTATTGAATATTAAAGATATGCTTAAGAGCTTTGGCTGGGCGCAGTTGTTTCTCTCCATCACAGATGGAAGACCTTTAACTCTGGAGGAAATATGGGGAAGTGTTCATGCATGTTACCAGGATCGTCTGCAGGAGGGGCCCTGGGACACCATCACACAGCAGGTGAGGATCCACTGGTCCTTTACAAAACTTGGGAATGCAGTATATGCCTGAGAATCCTTAGTGCCTTTATTCCTTCCCTGGACACAAGTAATAAATATAAATATAAAAATAAACACATAAATATATATGCATACACACGCGCACACAGACACAAGTCTAACTCTGGTTGTGCTTAGCCAGTTACCAGCAATAGTTTCAGTTCTGGTTTTGAAAGGATATATATTTAAGGCTTAGTTTGACAGTGTCTCACATTTAGAATACTCTTCCAACGCCCATCCGTAAAAATTCAGGCGATTTCTGAGTAATCATGGATTTGGGTTAATACAAAAGTAGACTTATTTATGTAAGTAAAATATATTATTGTAACACTTCACGCGTTGTCTTGTAATCAAATTACCAAAAAATAATGTGTGTCATTTTCAGTTTTAAATAGACTTGCAATCCTCTGGACTGAATGAGAGAAAGTTGGTCTCTCATCAAACAATAAGTTATTGCAGTCTAATAGTGAAACATGGTTCAGAGCTGACTTGGTTGCTCTGATCTCTTCCCTGTTACTCCAGCTCCCCAGAGCAAGTTTGGACAAAGACTAGAGACTCTCCAGGTGTGAATTTTTTTCCCATCAGACCAAAATACCAATGTGTCCTTTACCCCTCCCCTTTCCTTTCTTAATTTTTTGGTTTTAGCTTTTTCCAGGTCTCTTGCCACAGCAGCTGACACAATGGGGATGTGACTTCCACTGAGTTCTACAGGTGTTCCCCTAATTAAAATAATACAGTTTAATTACAGGATGCCTACTTGTAGATGGTACTCAGCCATCTACAGTGGGAACATGAGCAGCATTTTTGTTTTTTCCAGCCATCCACTATTATTTATATTATGACAAACATTATTTTTCTGGTATTTGCTGTGCATGGCTGAATTCCAGTTGAGAGTTGGCAGATTCTTGTAATACACACTTTTACATAAAGCATTAGTTACCTGGCTTGTCTATGAATGAAGATGAGAAAATTAGATTTTAATAAAATGATGTAATAATGTGACACTAGTGAGAAAAAGGCATAAACAGTATGTTCAGAATGTGTAAAATCAGAGTGGTGGAAGCCAAAAGGAAAAACAGGTCACTCTCACAGGGGGGTTATTTTTGCCTCTTAAGGGACAGTAAAGTAAAAACTGTCCTGCGTCTAATAATTGGAGTTTTGTGTAAGAAATATACACAAAAAGCTTTGCAGAAACGGGGTTTTTGGGTGGCAAAATGTGTGAAGAGATGAACCCGTCTCTGTGACACCTCTCCAGAGGCAGTTCAGCCACTGTGAATCCAGTGACAAACATGAACTAAGAAGAAAAAGAGAACATTTTGGAGAAATTTAGCGAAGTTATAGCAGCAAAATGTGACTTTCTGTTGAAATAAGGAGATTATGGAAGATAATAAAAACACACTGTAAGCACTAGCCTGCAAGCCTCAGATCAAAGCAAGAGTTAAGTCTACAAGAAAAAGAGAACTTTTCCCCCCTCAGATGAATCAGGGCTCTGAATTGCAATACGGAGCTTTCCCTCTCTGCTTCTCTGCTGACCCATTTTGTTATGTGGGTTAGGCTTTGCCTGCAGGGACACAGATTCTACAATACAAGTCACTGGGCAGGCTCATCAAATCAGACTTGAACACTCAGTACACATGAACAGCACAGAGAAAAGGTTTAAGGTTTTAATCCAGAACAGATACAGATTTTAAATGGTATAAGCACTCCACCACTGGGAGGAAAAACGGAGCTTACTATTGCCCAGACATATTACTTAGCTTTTAACTAGGGCTGATTTGTCCTTTGATTGCAGATTAGGAAAAGAAAGGCTTACTGTCTGGTTTTTTTTGTCCTTCCAGATCCAGAATCTTACACTAATCATTTGGGACCTTTATTCCAGTGTGTTTTATGAAATGCAGGTGCCATGCCTGTGCACATTTCTGATACAACTGTATTTTGGCTTATACTCTCTGTGGTAAAATGTATCTGAGATCAGGAGCTGAAACATTGCCTGAACTCCAAAGAATGTAGATATTTGGCATTTACTGAATTTTAGGTAAAATTTGAACTTCTGTAGTTTTGATTATTGTAGAAAGTCATGCTCATTTTCAGAGAAAGCATCTTTGAATATTTTTACTGACTAGATTATTGGAAAAATCAGAAGTCAGTTACCTTCTCATAAATAAATTAACATGATAAGGTTGCATAGTATTTTATAATGATAATTGATAAATGGTGATGATTTAATTGCACTTCCTCTAGTAATAACCTTAAAATGCTCAAATGAAGTTCCTGTGATTGGCTTTCTTCTGAGGTAAATCTCCCTGGTGCCTTCAGTCATCCCTTCTCTACATCCGGTGATAGCTTGCTTTAGCTGTTTTAAAGAATACAAATCAATTAGAACACACAGCTGTTTAACAAAACTTCTAAATGTTGCTACAGGTCTCTGTGGGTGTTTCCTGATGGCTTATAATGACATCAATTTAGCACACCTGGTAAGGTCTGTGTGAGCTGGAAGTAGCTTAATTCTGCAATGACAAGAAAATTAAGGAGTATTTATGGATTAATGTTGCCTTCCAGAAATATTGCCAACTGTGGATTTTAACTTCTTTTTACAGAGATTCAGAAGTGGGATTGCAGATATTGCATGCCTTTCTTCTGAACAGCTTACTTACAACTTGGTGGGTGGTTTTAGTGTTAGGTATTTATTTTACTTAGTTATATTAGTTACTTAAATATAATATAAAATCATAATATAAAATATAATATCAATCTTATTTATACTATATAAGGGTATACATGTATATATTGCCTATATATTACATATATTTACATATATGTATTACATTACATTTATACATATATATTACATATATTTGTATAAGTTATGCACAAATACATAGTGGCATTGTCTCAACAGCTCAAACATACTGTATGTATGTAATATCCTTCTGTATGTAATATCCACATAAATATCGAGGTATAATAACCCAGTTAAAAAGACAGCAGCCAGAAAGGACCATGATCAAATGCTAAACAATGAGGCAATTTGAAAGAAAAAAATGTCCACAAGAATAGGAAAAAGGCTGAAAAACAAAGAACAGAGAATAGAGAACAGAAATGAGACAAATGAGAAAAATCTTCACAATTATAAAGGTGAACATATTTTATCACATGTGCTTGGTGTAATAACCATGAATTTAAAAAACAAGGTTAAGTAATGTTTAGTTAATCTATAAAGGCTACATTTGACCTTTTTGTCATTTTGGAAATCTCTGAGGATGAGTGGTAGATGTGAAACAGCAGAAAGTGACTCTGTGGTTGTAGCTAGAGTTTCTGTCTTCAGACTGTGTGGTGTTGTTTGGGTCTTTGCTGTGGAAGTTGGAAATACATTAATTTTTCATCCTTTCTTTGCCCTGATGAATATTTATAGAAGTGCATACAAAGTAGAAGGACCTCAACAGGGCAAGGGACAACACTCGGAGAAAAATGCATTTCTAAGACTATGATGAAGCTGAGTTTATTTATTTTATTAATTTTAATTCTTGTTACTCGTGCTAATCTGTGTCTTCATTGATTTTTTTTCTGAGTGGAAGCAAACTGGCTGGAGAATTTTAAAAGCTGATATAAATGAACCTGATCGCAGTCAGTACTAAGTATCACCAACAGTTTTGTTTTTAACAGAGTGATGTTGTCATAAAGTCTGACCTTTCCCTGAGAAAACAAAGTCATAAACACAATCAGGTGTGTGTGCTAAGGCTTAATCAATGCTTGGTGATGATGGAATGTAAAATCAAACATCCAAGAGTAGAAATCGAACTCTGTTATTACAAGAGGCTCAAAGGTTGAAAAACTAACCAATAAAACAGAACAAAAGTTCGGTGGCTTGAAGATCCTACAGAAAGAGTCTAAAAAACTGTCTAAATAGTCTAAAATCCTGTGAGTCAGGATTCCAGAGGAAATGGAAGTTCCAAAGCACATGTCCATCCATCCCTCCCCTCGTCTTTAACCAGCACTGCTCAGACAGGGTTACTTCTGTTATCAACAGCCATGGGAGGGAGCACATTTCACGTGTCATACCTTGGCTCTGGGCTTGCCAACAATAAACCAGCATTTTACTGGTTTAGCACAGAAAAAGTTGTTCAGACCATTCTGACACTGACTGTGTCTTAAGTCTCAGAATAGCAAGTGATCGGGAATTTTGCATCTGTTTTTTTTCTCAAGCATTTATTTCTCAGTTTAATCTGAATGAGGTGTTTTTTCATCTGTCATTTGATACTTAGCAGGTAGCTGTAATGTAATCTGTTATATGTCTGCTCTGTCATATAAAAAGTCATCAACCAACCTAAACTACCCAAGTCACAGCACAGAACTGCACTATCTTTGTATTAACCCAGAGTCTGCTCTTTTTCAGTCAGGAGTTAAGAATCTGGAAGACATGTTCTTTATAGTACTTCAATAATCCTGTCCATTACATCACTTAATTTATAGCAGTGTTAACAGAAAAATCAATAAACATTATTTCTAAAATGGCAGGGATGTTAATAGTGTGATTTTAAAAAAGGAGAAAGAATCAAAACTCTGAACAGAACACACTGACATAGTGTTGTAGAGGCACATCTTGCTGGAAATGTGATAGGGAGGATTTAAATAATTTTGAAAAATGTGTGTAGGTCACTATTCTTAGACATACAAATCTTTCTTGCCATATTGTGGGATTTTGCTAAGTGGGGAAGGCTGTATACAGTATATCTTAACAGAAGGTTGCTAAGACCGCTCTTAAATCATTTTGAGTCATATCAACAGTTGCTATGGATCCCCTGCTAATATTTTTGGAAAATTATTAGTACAACTTCCTGAGAAAAGGGAGTCTTTCAGTGCAGACTGGAAAGCTGTTTGACAGGGAGAAGACCTAGGGGTGGGAAAGCTGGGTGGATATTTATTTCCCACTAAAATTTTCTATGATATGTTGAACTTCTGGGG